TTGTATATAAATCGGGGCATTGAGTCACTTCATATTAACTATCCCTTTTTTAGTAAATAGATGTAAATAAGGCCTCATTTTGATATTTTCAAGAGATTTATTAAATAAAAAATGAAATTTATTGCAAGTTAAACTTAAATATTTGACTTTCATTGTTTAGTATTTTTAAAGAATTACACAAATAATATATGGAATTATAAAAAAGAAGATTAACAAATTTATAAGATTAAAAAAATAAAATATCAATAATTGGTCATATTTATTTAATAAATAATCATTTAAATGAATAAGTATCCACAAAGCAACTTCCTTTTTGTTTAAATAATGTTTTTAAATCGATACCAGATTGATTCTAAAATTATCCTTTTAGAATTAGAGCATCCTAGGCTTGAAATATGGCTTATTAGGATATAAGTAGAATGGTCAAATTGGAGTTTACTAAAATAAATGAGCATAAAATACGTTCCGAAATTGAAATATTCGTATTTTTGGGTAATTTGAATTATGATAGAAGGGATTTGAAATTTGGATCTGTAGTTTAAATTTGTGAACCGGTTTTAATATCCCATAATCTGATTGACTAATCATTACTACCAGATGCTAAAGTAGTTCCATCTGGTGAGAAGCATACTGAATGTACCCAATGTTCATGACCATCTAATTTGGCTTTTTATTATCCTGTTTTAACATCCCATAATCTGATTGAACAATCTCCGCCTCCATAAATACTTCCACCACCTGATGCTAAAGAAGTTCCATTTGATGAGAAGCATACTGATAGGACAGAATTGCTATGACCATCTGATTTGGCTTTTTATTTACCTGTTTTAACATCCCATAATCTGATTGACTTATCACCACTACCAGATGCTAAAGTAGTTCCATCAGGTGAGAAGCATACTGATCGTACATAAGTACTATGACCATCTAATTTGGCCTTTTATTATCCTATTTTAACATCCCATAATCTGATTGTCTTATCACCACTACCAGATGCTAAAGTAGTTCCATCAGGTGAGAAGCATACTGAATAGACATCTTTAGTATGACCATCTAACTTTGCTTTTTATGATCCTGTTTTAACTTCCCATAATCTAATTGACTTATCACCACTACTAGATGCTAATTAGTTCCATCTGGTGAGAAGCATACGAAATAGACACTTCCACTATGACCATCTAATTTGGCTTTTTATTATCCTGTTTTAACATCCCATAATCCACTTGAGTTATCATTACTACCAGATGCTAAAGTAGTTCCATCAGGTGAGAAGCATACTGAAAAAACACTTCCACTATGTCCATCTAATTAGGCTTTTTATAATCCTGTTTTAACGTCCCATAATCTGATTGACTAATCAATACCGCCAGATGCCAAAGTAGTTCCATCTGGCGTGAA